TCTGACCCAATAACCCTAAAAAAGGCGAAACAAAAATGCAAAATGTTGCCTCATTATCTATGTGGAAAAATGCTGATTTAAGAGTTTTTTTGTGTCCATGTTTAAATCAAATTTACATATCCTTCCTAATAAAACATATACAGGTTATAAAACACATATGAGATTCATATTTCATTTAACCCATTCATATTTTACATGTCTCCATATACGTTCCCCATTCATAATAAGGGTTATTGCCACCTGTCCAAAGCTACTCAACAATACTCAATATTGATAGAATTTAATAGACGACAGCAACAGAAACACCTCTTTTTAAATATGTTACACATGTTGTCAATGACAGGAGGGGGTCGGTCCACATGTGTGCACATCTTTGTTAAGCATGAACACCTTCAGTGGTCAGAGAAATGCTGCAGCAGCACTCATGATGTTGTCACTATATATCTATTTGTATTTCTATCTAGAAAAAGTTGTGACAATATGGGGGAGTTCGTGAGTGACATAACTCAGTATGTGGTTATGGTGTGCTAACACCACAATATTCATATTTGTGTCAATGGTTACAAATGAATGATGTTGCCACCCTTAACTCCATTGCAGAGTTAATATGTTTTCCATTTTTTCCTGCTTTTCTAAACTCAAAAATTTACTGGACATAAAACAAAACACTTCCGTGCTGTAACACTTCATTGACTCTAACCACATTATCAGCGGCAGCATCCTCATTAAAATTATTATCGGTAGCCGGTCAACAACATCAGTGACATGTCGGCGATGTTGCTGTTCGATGGACCTCTTAGCACAGATGCGATATATATAAAACATGCCACATAAGTGTGACATGACAGAAAGAATATGTAAAGAAATTAAATATTTCAACGAACCCATTAGTGGAGTGTAACATGTTTATTATTCTCATAATCGTATTAAAGTCATGAACTCCGTCTGGTTCAGTGGCGAACAAAGAAGATACAGAAAATATTATAGGATTAAATGAGTTGGTTAATTTAAACATCCAATAAGTCTAAGAGGCTTGGGGAAATTCAACGTAAATTTTGTGGAAGGATATCATCATTTATTCAGGATATCCTAGCCAAAACTGGGTTTTCCTGATCACAATTATTGTTTCAACCAGACCGTAGTAGACGGATAAAGTTAGTCGTAAGGGGCCATTGTATTAAAGTCTGAGTCGAAAAAATAACTCGGCTTTGACATATATTGAGAATCCATGCTATCTGAGGATTGGAAACTTTGTAAAACTACTTATGTAGATTGGAGACTTGTAATACATTATACCTTAAACAAACCTTGCCAAAAATTATTTTATTCCAAATCTACCACTTATAGAGGTAGGAGCATCGGCAGAAATTATTCTTTTAAAAGTATACAGCTTATGGAGGTTGTCGCCTCGTTAAAAAATTATTCCTTTAAATATCCACGCTTTATAGAGGAAGTTGAACCTTCGTAAAAAATATTTACTAAAAACCCACGCCACATGATGATATGATCCCTAATAAAAAATTATTATTTTTTATTAGGGATCATATTGGTATATATTATACCTTTATGGAAATTGAAGCCTTGGTAAACGTTACATATTTAAAAAATCTACGGCTTATGGAGATTGAGACCTTGGTACAAATTATTACTTCAAAAATTTACGACTGAATAAAAATTATTACTAAAAAAATTACGCCTAGGTAAAATTTATTACTAAACCAGTAAGGAAAGCACAAAAGTCGGACGGGACGACTATATGATACCCTTCACCACTTTAAGTACATACAAACATAGTATGTTTGGAATCGGGTAAAATTAAATGTGTGATCTTCATAGACATTTGAACCAATTATAAACCATATTCTATTCTGATATGTATAAAAAATTGCATGTCAATCGGACATATTTCGATTCTTTGGTGTACTACTTGTATGAAATAGAGCAAAATTATGTATGTGAGCAATATGTAAATCTGGAGTTTTATAGTGCCCATGTTTAAATCAAATTTACATATCCTTCCTAATATAATTAAGCAAATGTGGCGTACACCATTTAGAAGTGCAATTTCTATTATTATATCTCGCTAGGAGAAACTTTTATTATTTGAATATATGTTACAAAATCCAATACGCGTTATTGTAGCTATAATTTTCTACGTTGTGCAGAAGTTCGTCCCAATCTGAAAAACTTATAGTTATTATGCCAATACTCTCTGCAAAATAAATAAATAAGCTCCTCGGGATTGGGAACTATATCTAAATCAGCACTGATTTCAAACAAAACTTAACTCGATTCAATATGTTAAACACAATATCGTGCAAATGAAACATGATATATCGTGCACCATTATTTAATAAAATCGGACTAAAGTATTAAAAGGTGTTATATCTAAATCTGAACCGATTTCAACAAAACATCACGGCCATCAAAGTGGACTTAATTAAGTGGGCTGACCAAAATTTCGTTCCAGTTGGAGAAATATATGTGGGAGCTACATCTACATCTTAACCTAACTCAGTACATTGCGCAAAATTTTGTCTCAATCGGACAAATATTGGGAGTTTGGTACACCACATACCTAAAATCGGACGAAAATGTATATGGAGCTATATCTAAATCTGAACCGATTTTCTCCAATTTCAATAGGGACGTCCATGGGCCAAATAAGTGACATGTGCCAAATAAATGCGACCTGAACTTTGCTCACAAAAATACATGGACGGACCGACGGACATGAAAAGACATAATACCCTGTACCACAGTGTGGTGAAGGGTATAAAAATTCACGCCTTATGCGGGCTGAAGCCATAGTAAAAATTTTATATATAAACCAGTGAGATGAGCAGTATAGTCTGAATAAATAATATAACTTTCTGTGGATCTATGTTCTGAGCTTGGGCAATATTTCGCACCCTCTTGACAGACTAGAGGTCAACAAATATTACTAACATTCAGTACAGCTCTTCTAATTACTTATCCAGTTTCCTTTCGCCGTGGGTTGCGCTGTGATTTTCGGCTTTCAATTGTGGCCTATAGATCGACTCGAAAAAAATACACACACACAAAAATTAAGTTTTCGGTCTACTTCATCCTCACTATTATTATCTGATCATCACGGAAAGTTATCGGCGTTGTCCTTGATCATTACTGAATGGGTTACTAAATAATATATGAATACGTAAGCACCTGTAAACTCCCACAACCGGGTAGATACGACAATATAATTGGTATCAATTTAAAGGTCAACCGCTCCTCTTGGATAGACTATCAACTTCTAAGGTCAACGTCATTCAGGAGTAAATATATACACTGTAGAATAAAAAGTTTGTAATTTTTCACACAAAAAACGGATCCATTTGACCTGCTAAATATTGACCTATCTCTTACAAAACAGACATGCTTATTCTTTGGCCCGATGTCCTTCTCCATGTAAAAATTCGCGATGTTTGGGCCAGAAATGCGGGCTCTGGAGCGGTCAGAAAAACCAACAAAAATTAAGTTTTTGGTCCATTTCACCCCCTAAATATTACGGAAAACAATAGAAATATTGACCGGAACCTACATGCAAAATTCCGTGAAGAGTGTGTTTGCAAATTATAAAGAACAGAGAGACGGACGGACACACATTTCTAGATCGACTCAGCTAGTCGAGATATGTCGATCGGTATACTTAAAGGTTGGTCTAGGACCAATATTTCGCGGCGTTACAAACTCTTGGAGCTGCACAAAGCTATAATACCCTGAGAACATAGTTGTGTAAGGTATAAAAATTCACGCCCTGTGGAGGCTGAAGCCTTGGTAAAAATTTTATATTTAAAAAATTCACGCCTTATGAAGGCTGAAGCCTTGGTAAAAAGTATACCTTTACAATTTTTCGACATATGTAGGTACATTGAAGCCTTGGTAAAAATTATTCATATAAAAATCTGACATAGGTCCATATTTCATAATATCCCTCACATAACGAATATTCTAAATTCCTGACAGAACTTAGGCAGAAATAGAATAGAATTTCGATAAAAATATACCAATTTCTTGAATATACTCATTTAAGTTGAACATATTTGACACTCCACCAAATTTTAACACATTGTACGTTGAAGGTGCGGGATTAAATGCATTTTTGGCATTTATTTCTCCTGGAAGTCAGTTTACAGTATCTGTCTTTTTTGACATAGCCTCCATATAAGGATCCCGAAGGTCTTAGGCTATGTTCGTCTGTAAGTCTGGGTATATGTCGAAAGAGATCACTTTAAAATCTGGGATATATTAAACCAAAGATATGGTAATTCGATATTCCATATTCTTGGATGATGGAAAATATTTTTGTCGAAAAATTCGATATGTGTTAGTGTTGGAAATTATTCCGACATAAAAGTCCCACCTCACTTTCGGTATTTTGAAAAGCTAGACCGAATTTTCCATCCGAAGTGGATGTAGTTTAATAATCCCGGTTCTTAAAGATTGAAAATATATTTTCAGAATAATTCCGATATAGGTCCCGCCTTACGTGGAAGGTCTTCCTTAGCATCTATTATTTTTCGTTCTAGGATCTTGGATGGTTAAATACACGTTTGCATAAATTGTATTTGTTGTGTGGGAGTATTTGGCGGAATCTGCGAATTCTCATTACCTCTTCAAATGTATATACACAATAGAAAAATCCTGCACAGTAAATTCCTCTTTTATTTTTTATAGGTCATCTTTGAAGGTTCAAGGCATTATTAATAATATTAGCTTGTGTCATTATTATTAATAATATTAGCTTTTTAACTCGAGAGCCTTTAATTATATATACGGTATAAATTAACTTCCACATTATTTATTATTGTTATTATAATTATATTTTCCAGTAAATTAACTACTTTATTTAGTACACATTGCCAACTTTAAACTGCTTAAATTTTACTTCCATATTTTCTTTCCGTTTCAAATTACACTCACACGGATTTATATTCTATTCTAATTTATTTCATATGTAATTACATTTGCATACTCACCCTGAACTGTTGAACAGATAATCCAAAGACTTGATTTAGTGTAACGCGTAATAAAGGCACCATCATCCAGGACATTAAAGTTAGCGGTACCATTGTAATTGGTATTCGGTTGTTTTTCTTCCGTAAAGAGCCACTGAGGTCCGGCCAGTGCAGCAATGACAATTGCCACAGAAATGCTGCAATTTCCATGTAAACACAAACACACACGTACGCACGCACATACACCGAGAAAAAAAAGAGAGCAAGAAAGAAGCGGGTCAGTAAATGAATGCAAACATTTCAAGGGAATAGAAACAACCAAAAAACTACATACATAGATAAAAAGCTGAAAAAACCCCTTAGTGATGAAAGACTTTGAAAAAGTTGTTGTAAAAAATGTTGTTTAACAAACGACTGCAATAATGTTGCAAACATTCCAGGCAACTACAGCAATGAGAAGCAATAATACAAAACAAAATCTACAACACATGTGTAGAATGATGCAACATACAGAGAAAAAAATGGAAAAAAATAGGAAACCCCGAATGCAGATAGACTTTCTCCAGTAGTTAGTAAATAAAATAGTTTCTCTTTGTTCTTCAAACAAAACGAGAAAAAAAATACTGTCCGTCAGTCAGTCTCTAGTCATATTGTTGAGAGTAAAGGATTTAGTGGGATTTCAGTGACGGCGCCGGGCAAACTAATTTAGGCCAATGGTAAATACCAGTAAGCCTAGTTGGTGATTTCTTTGTTTGTTCCATTGATGATGGTTATTTACCGATAGAAGGGGACATTATTTGTTCTATGTGATTTACTTGAACAGTGAAACCTTCTAATTGGGGACTCTAACCCGAAACAAAACTGTATACAATGCCATGATCAATTTCCCTTATATATCGTACATTTATTTTAATTTCGGTTCACTTTAATCTCATGGCATCAAGAATTATTACTAGAATACAAGGATTTGTGTCCTGTTCCTTCGTCCCATGACTTTCCCCAAAAATACATCAATTCCACCTCCCTGTCTGCTTGTTTGAAATATGTTTAAATCGTTAGCTTTTTTCCTTTGTTCTGTTTTTTTATCTTTTACATTTCCCTTGATATGTTTTAACACTAACATGGTACTGTGTTTGTGTAAAAAAAAAGAAAACTGGAAAAACCATACGGGAAATGCTGATAGGTCAAAATGTTGTGAATGCCTAGTAAATTTAAAATGAAAAGGAATGTAGGTATATTTGATATTATAATTTTACCCTACATTCAACGAAAGGCCTATATATACCTAGTTATTAGGTTTATAAAACAGATCTTATAAAGAGAATGTCATATATCTGTAGACGACCTTCAAATATTTTCTTACTGTTGATTGATTAATTTCATCTATCTTGACTAACTTATATCTAAGTCAGTCAACTTAGATATAAGTTAGTTGAACGCCCAGACGAAAAGGCTGATGCTAGAATCTTGAAATTTTGGGATGAAGGTCACTCTTGGTCCAAAAGTGAGTTTTTGGAAATTCGTACTAGAACGGCATGAAAAGTACTAAATACGGTACCATTTATAATTGGAGCTAGAACTCTGAAATTTGGATTGAGGGTTATTGATGGAATGTAGGATAGATGTGCCAAAGGGTTTTTGAACATTCGAACTATAAGTATAGGAAAGATACTAAATTTGTTACCATTTTGTAGCATGTGAATGGATAGAGTTAAAAACTTGAAATGTGGAATGCGAATTTAGGTTGAAAAAGTAAGTCGATATAATTTGACGTTAGGATCGCTGTTGGTGTGTAGGATTGAGCTTTGTATAAACGAAAAGTACTAAACTTTACTAAATTTCGTAATATTTGAATTTAGAGAAAACAGAGTTGTTGGTAGAGTGGGATATGCAGAAATTTGTAATTAACATGTGTACCAAAATGTTACCAAATGTGGATTTGGGTGAATCGATAGAGCTGGAACACTGAAATTTGGAAATAAATGTTTTACTTATGTGTACTTTTAGAAATTCATACATAAAAATTGTATAAATTTGGTACATTTGCATTTTATATAACTAGGTTTTGGAAATTTTGAGTTTGGATTTTTGGGATATAGTGTGTTAAATTTGGTACAATTTAAATTTTGGGTGAACCAAAATAGCTGAAATTTGAAGTTAGTGGATTTTGGTGAATTTGATATTTGTAGGATTACTGTTGGGATATGCATTAAAAGTATTTGGTAAAATTTTAATTTTGATGAACTGATGGGATTCTGAAATTTGAAGGAAGAATCATTGTTGGGGTGTAGTATTGGGTTATGTAGAACGTTTTGAACATGGTACTAAATTTGTATATAGTTCAAACGATAGAGCTGGAAACTTGACATTTGGAGTTAGCATCACGGTAGGGGTGTCGAATTGGGGTATGTATCATGTTTTGGATAAGATAACATACTAAAATTTTAAATATGGTCGGTATTGGTTTTTAAATAATTCCCACTAAATTTGATATAACGAAGTAGCGGGCATATGCTGAGATTTAAAATAAGTTGTGGTGTTTTGGAAAAAACTGATTATGATTAAAGTAGGTAGATATTTATATTGATGTGTACTAACTGGTACTAAATTTGGGATTGGTGAACCTACAATTGAAATTTGGAATTTTTTGATATAAATATTACAAGAGTACATAGGGTAATGAATGATACCAATTTTAATAGAGAGCTAGATTTATGTTGCGGTCAGAATTGGTGTTTAGAGTTGAGATATGGAGTTCATTTTAGAAATACGTACTATAAGATAACATACTAAAATTTTAAATATGGTCGGTATTGGTTTTTAAATAATTCCCACATTCGCTAACGAAGTAGCGGGCATATGCTAGTATAAAATAAGTAAAAAACTATATATATATATATATATATATTTCCGTCCAAATTTCCAAAAAGAAGTATCTCAACCCGCACAAAAGCGATCGTCATACCAAATTAAATATTTTTTCTCAATTCGTGCAATAAATATTATTTGTCTCCAATTTAGTACAACTTAGAATTTCGTACACAAATGTGTACTATTTCCACGACCTAATACATATCACAAATCTACACAATAATAGAGATATTCTAAATTGACTACTTTGGTACCCTATACAACTATTTTTCACTTAAATATCTTATTTATAAATCCAATTCCTAACCTCAGCCCTGTACAACAATTCCCACAACAATTTTAAGTTTTCCAATTCCATTCGATCACTCAATAACAACTAATTTATAAAGTTGAGCACTGTTTAGTACTTTTCGTACATTTATAGCACGAATTTAAAAAATTTCGTACACATAGCATACGATTTTTTTAAAATCCGACTACAGGGTTGCCCATATTCGACGGACCCATCTGGCAACGCCATAACTTTTGACAGAGATGTCACATCGCTTAATTTTTACCATGAACCAATACACGCCGCGCGAGCGCTCTGAAATAGCTGAAATTTACATTCAACAGAAGAAGTCAATTGTGAAAACTCAACGTGCTTTTAAAACATTAAAAACTGTGAGAAGTGTGCCTTCTAAAAACGCCATTAAGCGTTTATACGAAAAATTTTCGATTGGTAAGGCTCTTTCTAATCCGAAGAGGCCATATAAAAGTCGACCAAGGGGATTGGCCGAGAATATCGCTGCCGTACGAGCCAGTATTGAGAGGTCCCCAAGAACATCCCAAAAACACCGTTCTCAGCAGTTGGGCATGGCTCGGTCCACTTTACAACGGATTATTCGCATTTGTTCCCGTACAAAATTCAATTGACGCAAAGAATGTTGCCTGCTGACAAGCCTCGTCGATTGGAATGGGCCCAAAGAGTCATCGAAATGGCAGAAGATGACGAGCAATTTTGGAACAAAATTATCTTGTCCGATGAAGCCCATTTCACATTGTAAATAAGCAAAATTGCCGTTTTTACGCCACTGAAAATCCTTAGGAGATTCAAGAAGTGCCTCTTCATGACGAAAAAGTCACAGTTTGGTGAGGCGTTAGTGCGAAAACGGTCATTGGGCCGTTTTTCTTCCAAAATGAAAATGGCCATTCTGTTACCATCAATCAGGAGCGTTATCGCGACATGATGACCAGTTTCGTAATGCCAATTAATCGTCGAAAGCGTATGAGGCAGTTCTGGTTTCAACAAGACGGCGCTCCACCGCACACAAGTCGCATAACAATCGATTTTCTGAAGAATTTGTTTCCGGTCCGTTTGATGTCGAAAAGTGGTGATTTGGACTGGCCACCGCGTTCGCCCGATTTGACGCCGCCTGACTTCTTCTTGTGGGGATATTTGAAGTCAAAGTTTAACGTTAACAAGCCAAGAACCGTAGAAGAGCTCAAGGACAACATTCGTGAAGAAATTGCCGCTATTCCGGCCGAAATGTTGGCAAAAACGATGGAAAATGCAGCAAAAAGGGCACAATACGTCATCAACGCCAGAGGCGGCCATTTGAGAGATATTATATTCAAAAATTCATGTAAACAAATCTTCTTGGAACACATTTAATGATTAACATTGCCAACCGCCAAATTTTTACAACAATATAAGGGCAACCCTTTACACATATTTAACAAAATTGCATAATAAATATTACGTTTTGTAATTTTTTATTCGGGTTTCCCAAAACACCATATAATTTCAACCCCACAAACAAACAATATTCTTCATACAAAATTGCAATATACTAGGTTTATTCGTTCACCCAATATCAATAATAATTGGTATGACACATTTTATACACATTTAGTACGAGTTTCCTAAACCAGTTAGTACCTCTATTCTACGTTCCATTAAGATACCACAATCCAAAATTTTAAAGTTCTACACCTATCCGTTTACTCAGTATCAGTGCTACAATTTTTAGTACTTTTCGGTAGCATTTTTATATACTTCTAATACGAATTTGCATAAAGACATCCTTATCACACACATTCGAACTTATAAACTCACATACAAAGTTTCAAGATTCTACTTTCAACCGTTTCTTCTGTTTATTGCAAGTAGTCATGTTAGTATATTTTACTACTTTTCGTACCCTTATAGTTCGAATTTCCCCAGATCCAATATTAACGTCACTACATACAAAACTTCAATATTCCAGATTTGTGTTCTCATTTTCTCATCGAATTAGATGTAATATTCTGGATTCTGGATTATTGGAGAATCAAATTTCTGAAG